GGGGGGGGGGGGGGGTCAGGCTGCGGTCGTCCGCGTGAAAGATGTTATGAGCCACCACCCTTCCCAAAAATGATAATTACATGAACTGGCTGACCCCCTGACCCTCGCCGCCCTCTCCCGTCAATCGGGGGCTGATTGCAGCACAATCTTCGATCGGGCTCGTGCATCTTTGGGCGAGAGGATTCCTTTTGGCGTTGCTGGCAGAAAGGCAGACTTCGTAGGGAGGGGATGGAGGAGGGCAGAGAACGGATCTGAAAGGAAACTAAATCTGAGGGGAAGGTGGAGGAACCATCTCGAAGGGAAGTGCTATGTACATTTTCGCAGTTTCCACGTATAAATAAGCCATGCTCATGCCCTGCGTCTTTTCCCAGGCTTATCGAAACTTTGCGCTTTCATACCACCCATTTTGCTCCAGGTCCGTTTGTTGACTTCCGACTGCTGCGCCCATGCTGAGTCCAACTGGAGCGGAGGGGAGGGGAGTATACGAAAACCGGTTCAGCGGGAGGTCGCCGGCGCGAAAGCCGATCCGAATCCGAGCATTGATCCGATCTCAGATTCTGTCGGGGAAAAAAATACCTCTTACCTGAGTCGTATCCTGGTCCTTCAAATGCGTGTACTTCGTCTGCCCCGCACGTCCAAAGTTCTTGACCTGCATTACGCTCGGCAAGGACTCCTTATTAAAGTGATCCTCGAGCGTGGGCTCGGAGAAGTTGCGCGTTTGGAGCGCGGTGTTGACTTTATCGTCATCGGTGTAGAACGCGCCCTTGTGGTAGTACTTCTGCATGAACTTTCGTTTCGCCTTTTCGCTACCGGCGTTAAGGCCGAGTCGCGCGTTCTCGGCGGCGAGCTGCGCGTCCGTCATGTTGCGCCGCCGCTGTAGATCGGCTTCTTCGGCTTCTCGGCGATCTTTCTCTTCTCGGTCGCGCTTGATACGCCGCAGCTCGCGGAGCTTCCATGCTGCGTATTCTTCTTCTTCGTCGAGGCCGTCTGTGTCGTCTACGTCGATCGGGTCGTTATTTACCTGAACTGAGAGGAAAAGCATCCAGGAGGCACGAGGGTAGAGAATAAAAAGTTACGGAGAAGATCTTAGATTTACTGCAAGTTGCCAAAATAGCCAAAACTTACCCGCAGCCATCTCCTTGCGAAGCTCCTCGGCAACCATTTCATGTGACTCTAATCTCCGCTCCTCTAGCTGCTTCGCTTTCAACTCAGCAGCCTCCTCCCGCTCCTTGTCCAACCGCTCCTGCTCCAAAATGGTTTCTCGCTGAGCCCTAAAAAAATATTCTTAGTAACCGAAGATACGGGCGAGCAGGAGAGAAGAAATTCAATTGCGACGATATCAAACACTTACTTAGGGATAAAAACCGGCTTCATCAGTGTTCGGGAGGCAACGGGTTCATCCTCCGAGTCGGTGGTGTAGTCGGTGGTGTACTCATCTTCTTCCTACGGAAAAGGGTACGTGGTAAGTTGCAACATCCTTCATGTCCCAGCCGCCCAGCCGCTCCCGGACACGCAGTTGCCGCTGGCTCACCTCTTCCTCCTCTTCCTCCTGCTTCGCCTTGGCAGCAGCCTCCTCCTCCTGCTGTCTCAGCAAAGCCTTTTCGCGGATGCGATTCCGCCGTCTCGCCACCGCGTCCTCGTCCTCCTCCTCACTCTCTTGATCTGAGAGCACAATTGAGAAAACGAAAGCGAAGGTGGATCCCGCGGGAACGACAAAAGAATGGTCCAGACCGTGTCCCGGGACGACGCGCAGCACTCACCGGCTTTTGTGTCCTCGGCCTTGACCTGGCTCACGGCCTGCGCGCGCCGACCTGGCCGTTCGATCTCCTCTCCGCCGTCGGCCTCGGCGTCTTTCGAGGTCTGCATCAACCGCCGCAGCCTGCGGTCGCTCTGGACCTCGGCGGAGGTGAGGGAGACCTCTGTGATTTCCTCCGTCTTGACGGAGCGTTGTTTGAGGGCATCCTCGGGCAGGTCCTGGTCCGAGTCGCTCTCACTGTCGGAGGCTGCTTGGGCTTCCTTCGGGGCCTTTCCGGGCCAGTAGCGGACGGGGCGATTGCGGCCGGGCGGTTTCGCGGATGACATTGTGGGGTTGGGAACGTGAATGCCGGGTGACGATGGGGAGAAGAGGGCGTCCTGTGGTTTGAGACACCCCAGCCAGTCCTATGTTGTAAAAGCACAGAGCAAAGACTCCCACATAATGACGGGTCTATTGTTCTTCCATACTTGAGTTTGGTAGCAATAGAGAATATTCTCAGGGGACCTTGGAGTTCCACGGCAGACGGCGGCCTCCACAGCTGCCAGCCTCGCTTGCTTGCAATCTTCACTGCAATCACGACACCGACCCCATGGCTAAAAGTGAGTGGAAGGCCGCCCGAAAATGCCCGCCTGACTCTCCCCCGCAAGCCTGCCGGCGTACGGTGGAGAATCGCACCTCGACCACAGTCTCTCCACTTTCGCCGCAGGTCCCGGGTCTCCACAACCAGATCCACCTCTTCAGGCGATCCCCCTTGTTTAAAATGCCGCCGTTCTCGATCCTGCGGGGAGCAGGGCCACCTACCGCCCTATTCGGCCGCCTGCTTTCGCACCACTCCCCGCAGTTTCGGATTCACCGTCACGACAGCGAACCCATTCCTTTGTTATTTTTTTTGGTTCTAACCCATTTCCTCTCCACTCCCCATCTGCAGTTCCGCGCAACTTTCGCCTTCTCGAGGAGTTGGAGAAGGGTGAGAAGGGTATTGGGGACGGCACCCTCAGCTACGGACTTTCCGACGGTGATGATCTCCTCATGACCAACTGGCACGGAACGATTATTGGGCCCGGACATGTGAGTATCGGGGGCGATGCTGAGGGAGGGTGTCATGTCTCGAGGGCGTGGGGTTTGCTTGACGAGGAGGGGTAGCAACATCGTGTTGAGATATTTCGGCATGTGCTGCACCTCTGTCTTTCACCGCTCTCACCCTACCCCCCCCCCCCCCCCCCCCCCCCCTCCCCCACCCTCCCCCCCCCCCCCCCACCCCCGC